ACAGTATTTTTCACTTTATGTTTCTGTGTGGGAGCAAACTGTTGAAATCTTTACTTAATGTATGCTAAACTGATCTTCTGTATATAAAGAGAATCGAAAATGAATCTTGATGTGAATGGAAGGGGAGAGGGAGTGGGAAAGGGGAGGGTTACGGGTGGGAGGGACGTTATGGGGGGGAAGCCATTGTAATCCATAAGCTGCACTTTGGAAATTTATATTCATTAAATTAAAGTTTGAAAGCAAAAAAAAAAAAAAAAAGAAAAAAAAAGAAAATAATCACCCTTCTCCCACTCCCTGAAAAAAAAAAAGATAAAGATATATCTTTCTGATAAAACTTGTAATAAATCTTGTAAAAATTTAGAGAGGGTGAGAGTAATCCATCTGCTGATTCACTCTCCAAATGCCCACAATGACCACAACTGGGCTGGACCAAATCTGGGAACTCAATCCAAGTCTCCCATATGGGTGGCAGGCACCCCATTATTTGAGCCATCACCATTGCCTCTCAGGGTCTATGTTGGCAAAAGGCTGAAGCCAGGCATCAAACCCAGGTATTCTGATATGGAACTCTGACATGTTAATCACTGTCTTGACCACTGGGCTAAATGCCTACCCTCACAGGAAATATTACATAGAAAACCTACTTATGCCCCTACCTTGAAAGTGACCACAAGTTAAAAATCATTGTTCTTTTTCAGTTCTAGCAGTCTATGGCTATAATAATAACCTCATGAGGCTTTCTACAGTTTATTCTGATTAAGCTGAGTCCAGAACCCATTTTCCTGGGTAAGTTTGAGTGTGTTGGCATTATTTCATTGAGCAAGAAGAATGAATTTCCATTGCACAGACAGCTACATTTCTAGAGATTGTTATAACTATCATTTTTCCTTCTATTGAAAAACTGCCGTCATTGAAATCCAAATGACCTTATCCTACCTGCTATTTAAACATGTATTCTAATGAAAGAAGTCACTAATTTTGTAAGTTATATGCTCCATGAGTAACACCTGTCTGTTAGATCCGAAGTTAAGAATATCATGAAGTACATGGCATTTTTAATGCCATTTAGATGAAATAACTGGAAACGGAATATATTTTAACTGCTATAAGTTTCCTATATAAATATCTAATGCTATAATTCTAATACTGACTATAGATAGCAGGCACAGACATTTCTTCTTTAGATGAAAGGATTTCAAATCATAGGCATTCTTTAGTTATCAAAGTTATAGTTTGAACAATAATGCATTTAGTAATTCTGGCATTAAGTTTGTTTCTAGAATACCATGGAATTCAATTATTTTCTGATGATTGAATAGTTTAAATTGTGTAGGATCTAGAGTGACTAGGACTTACTATGGTTCAAATTTAGTTATATAATCTAATCAAAGAATGAGGTGTTATAACAGATGTATTATTTAACTTCATATATCTCAATTGGTTTTGCTTGACTTGTATGTTGTATAACATTTACTAACTCTGGGACTTTTGTTGTTGATTGTTATTATTGAAATTATTTTCATTATTCACTTACTACTAACAAAAATATACAAACTTAAAAACTAGGCATATACTTCTTAAGATTAGACCTCATATACAGCTATGAAACCAAATATATTTATAAATTAAATACAAATAAAATTCTCAAACTAACAAGATTCAAAGTAACACATTCATTTTTATGTGACAGATGATGTTGCTTGGCTACAACCAAATCGATGCTTGCAATATGAACATAGTAACTAATACTGAGGTTCATTGTATCAGATGGATCATAGCAGCAAATTATTGCCATTTCAGGGGTAGTTGAAGAGTATTTAAGAAACATGTACTAAAGTGCAGACTAGCTTAAAACAAACTAGAGATTTGAGGGACAGCAATAGTGAAGAATCATTATTACCCATGAGACAGTGGAAGTTTAGGGAGAGCGCCTGATTACTATGCCTCTGTGTTCTCTCCTATAAACTAGGGATATTTTTCATGTTTATTATTTATTTTCATTAACTTGAAAAGCAGAGAGATAGACTTCTTTCATCCACTGGTTCATTCTCCAGATTTCTGCAAAACCTTGGTTGGGTCAGGCCAAGACAGGAACACTGGACACCATCCAGTTCTCCCACCTGGGCAGCAGGCCTCACGGACTTGAGCATGATCTGCTGACTCCCAAGGTGTGCATTAGCAGAAGCTGGATTAGAAGTGGAGCAGCTGGGACTAAAACAGTTGCTCCAATATGGGAGAATATTGGTATTGCAAACACCACAAGTCCACCCCTAAAATAGGGGTTATAATACTCACGCCGAAGGATTATTAACATTAAAACAATATATAAGAGTATTTTTTTTAATTTGAAAGGAGTGCAGGAGAAAGAGAGGGAGAGAGACAGAGGCTAGAGGGTGTTTAAAAGTGAGCTTCACATTTAGTAATTGATCAACAGACTTGAACTCACAACACCACAAATGTATATGGCAGGCACTATTATTTCCAGTCTTCATATCAGGAAATGAAGCTCAAGGAAGTTAAGTGCATGACCCAAGTCTCTTGTGCCAGTAAGTACCTAGCCAGGTCACACATAAGTTTGAAGACATTAGAGGCCAAGATTTACCTACAATTCACTGACACAGAAGCCATTCCCTCTCAGCTGGGATAGGGCACCACTGAAGATCTTAGAATATCAGGTATCAAAGCTTGTCAGCTTTGGGTTGAAAGCTTTGAGAAATTACCAGGTAAAACTATTTTATCACATTTCTCAATTTCTTAAATTCCTGTTCTTTACAGTCTACTTTCATGTACTTTTGCTTACTTTTATCAAGCAAGGTCATGAGAGGATTGTATAGATACAGAAAAGGGTTATTTTTAAAAAATGTTTGAAATATACTTGCTAGTTGTGGGATACTTTCCTTTTTTTAACTTTTATTTAATAAATATAAATTTCCAAAGTACAGCTTATGGATTACAATGACTCCCCCCCCATAACTTCTCTCCCACCTGCACCCCTCCCATCTGCGGGATACTTTCAAACAGAGGTTCCCACCCCAAAGAGGATTCTTTTATTCCACATGTTTGGTGAAGACAAAAACATCCTGGGACTAGATTTAGAGTTTCCTGTTGCAAATGGATACAGTTCAACTAATAAACTAGAGGTGATATGGATGCATGTAAATCTTAGGAGAGCTTTTTAAAAGGTGCTGATAAAGTTCTTTTAATATATTGAGAAACTGGAAATAGTTCAACATAAATCTAATTGCTTCCAGGAATGAAAATCGGTGCCTCAATTTTGAAAAATGACATTTTATATAGTAGATGTCATAAACTAAGGCCCAGCAATAATGTTATTAAGAGCACTTAGAAATGTTTTTTCATAAACCCCCCATGAAACTTTCCAAATGAAAAACACCTGTTGCCTAAGGGCCTCCAGCCGCCTCTCTCTCTCTTCTTCTTCGTGTGCTTCTTGGAGGGCTGCTTCCCTTTTCTCCATCAAACGCTTTTCCAATAAATCTTGTCTATATTTTACCCTTTAAAAATAAAGCACAGGAAAGTCAAAGAGGAATCACAATAATCTTAGAGATAATATGGGTAAGGGCATAGGAAGGCATCTCCGAGGTGACAGTGCTGTCATACTTTGGTTTTGCATGATTTTGGTTCATTTCTCATATCCAAACAATAAAAAAGCATATAAAATGAAGTCTGCAGTAATCTTAATAACAACCAGAGAAATACAGGAAAGCATGGAGTAAAATTCAGCTAATCTGATTTCTCATGAATTAATTTTATTAACTCCCAAAGTGTCCAATGGCGGCTACCGTGCAGCTCATTGGCTGCCTCATTCCTGAATGGTTAAAGCAGTATTTTGCTAAGTTTTAACACAATGTAATATGTTTAAAAAGGTCACATTACTGATTAAATATTCATACATTTAGAAAGAAAAGTCAAACTACTGCAATAATATACCTAAATTATTATGCTTCCTGGAACTAAAAGTAAACCTTCTACACACTGTCACTCACTTTGTCAAGAATGCCCTGAGTGGGTATGTGTGCATGTTAAGAAACTGTAAAAATTGCACTTTGACATCTGTAGATGGCAGCAAAACATGACTTTCCCTTAGCATTCTATTTTCACCTTCTTAAAATCAGATATTATAATAAAGCACATTCAAATGCTGATTAATGCCCCCAGGCTCTTTGGGTCTCCTCTGCTGCCCCTCTTTGGACAGTCTCCCTTAGCATCTCCTTGCCCAAATCATTCTTCAGTTGAATTATGGAGATGGGATTCATCTCCACAGGCATTTATCTCAGTAGGCTCCTGGGTTCTCAGGGGAGTCTGAGGCCATTGATTGTCGTCTATCACTGTTGGTTTAGGTTGAATTTTCTTTGCAACATCAGTTACAAATGCCTTCTGCCCTTAGTATGCACAGCTGCATTTTCCATGGAGGTACTTTTTTGTACCCTTTATGTCTCGATTCTGACATGTGCTGAGTGCTCACTATGTATCTGGTCTTAGTGCTAAGGGTTTTATATATTTAGCTCACTTAGATGTCACTGTTCTTTATTCCATTTTATAGACAAAGAAATGAAGGCATAGGCAGGTGACGTGACTTGACCAAAATATGTCAAGTGGCTGCCAGAAATCAAACCCAGGAAAACCGGTCTCAGAGCCTAACCACATCATTGCCTGTGCAATTAACAATTTTGTTCTCTTGCCTTGACCTCTCCACCTAACTCTCCATATTCTGAATACCCACTAGGTGCCAAATCCTGAGCTAGAGATCAAGGGTACACAGAGAAAAAGACTCTGTTCCATTAACAGGGAGACAAGATATATGTGAGGACGAAACAAGGCACTTTAAGGTCCTTTAAGAGAAGAACAAACAAGGACCACAGGGAGTTAGGAGAGATCCCTAGATGTGTTTGGGGAAGAACTGTTGGGACTTAGCAAGAGCTTCATGGAAGAGGTGGCATCTGAGCAAGATCTCCAGGATTAGGACTGGCAGAGGCAAGGAGAGTTGAGGGCAGAGGGGAGGGTGCCTTCCAGACAAGGAAAGTACAGGGTTGGCATCTGACAAGGGTTTCCTCTCTTGCCTCACTTAAGTCTCAGAGGCTGTGATGAAGGGAAGAGTTCAATGTGGCAATAAAAGAGTGAGTGATGAAAAATTATGGCAAAGCTTGGAGCACCACTGGAAGGCAGAGCCTGGCAGTCTCGGGACTTCCTTAAGAAGATTGACTCCAGGGAAGGAATACTCTTGGAAAACAGGCTGCTGCTGAGGTTACCATGGAAAGAGAAGTACAAGGAGAGAGGAAGGAACAGGATTTAAACAGAAAATTATCACCTCTTCTGACGGCCGTGGTCATCCTCCCATCCTTTTCAATATCAGAGTTGGATCAGTGAAGACACATGAATAGAGAGCATCCACATGCAGAAGGCTCCCTGTCTCCCGTGCTTCCATGTCATGGAAAGTGATTTTTCTCATTCTCTTCGTTTTCACTAAGGCCTGCCACTACCTCCCTAATGAGGTTCTACTCAATTTAAGCACTGAGTACAAGCTAAGTGAACTACTGTGAAGGTTCAATTAAAAGATACCCTGGGATTTGACAATTACCATATGCTAATTTTCAGAACCTTTGGAAAGTTTCTCTTCCTTTGGGATATATAGGTTGCTTCGTCTGCAATAAAGTTTTCATCTGCTTTGAGGAAAACTAATGGTTGTTTCAGCCAGGGGACTTGACTAGTAAGAAAGAAATTGCAAATGAGAATAAAGCCATCACACCTGTGTCAGGAAGGCTGCCTCATAGTTTACTTGGAGGCTCATTCAACAGATATATGTTAAGCACCTGCCATGCATGAGGTGGTGTGCTAGGTACTGGCAGTACAACATCAGCACCAGAGACCTGCTCCTATCCTGACAGAAATGACAGTTTAATGGGGTTAAAAAGACCGAAGCAATTATGATACAGGGTGGCTTAAGCTGATGAGAGAATGAGGACAGAGGCCAGGGACTTGGGACATTTAGGGGAGTGTCTGAGAGGAAGTACTCTGAATTTGAGACGGAAAAGGGAGCAGGAGTTCAAAGGGGAAGTGAGTAGAAAGAATGTTCCAGGCCCAAAAAAAGAATAGCATGTTAGGGCTCAGAGGCAAGAGAACATGGTTGGAGAACAAAAGAGATTCAGTATTACCAAAACCAAAACTTCAAGGAGAAGAGATTCAGAATGTGAACCTGGAGGGACCAGGGGACCTGGCTCTGGGGCTTTTGCAAGCATGAAATCTTTTGAATAGGGTAATACAATTATGTGAAAGCTCTCTCTTATAGTATAGAGGATGGATGGTAGGGAAATAAGACCAGAGAGGGTAACCCAGAGCAAGGTTAATGGTTTCCGGACTAGGGCAGGAGATTAGGAGAATATAAGGATTTATAAACTATGCAGGAAGTAAGTAGTAAGAGTTTATTTTATGAGAGAAGAAAGGACGGTTTCTGTCTTGCACAGCAAACAGTATGTTCTCTACTTGTTTGGAAACTTAGAGAAACAAAGAAGAGAAGGAAGTGGATTTGATTTAGACATAGACCTGTCTTGACAAGATCTGAGCTGTTGAAATAGGTAGGCATTTTTTTATTATTACTATTTAAAAGGCAGGGTTACAGAGAGAGGAGGATAGACAGATCTTCCTTCTGCTGATTCACTCCCCAAAATGACTACAATGACCAGGCCTGGGCCAAGGCAAAGACAGGGGCCAGGAGCTTCTTTCAGGTCTACCATGATGAGGGTAGCAGAGGCCCAGGCCCTTGGGCCACCTTCCACTGCTTTCCCACGCACATTAGGAGGGAGCTGGACCTGAATTTGAGCAGCCAGGACTTGAGCTGGTGTCCATATGGGCTGTCAGTGCTGTAGGCAGCGACTTAACCCACTGCACCACAGCAGAGGCCCCAAAAATCTGGTAGGCAATCTTTACCAACAGACTGGAATTGAGGCCACTAGGACAGAAGCCGTTATCCAGGGTGAGAATGTACAATAAGAACAGAAGTGGGACTAGAATTGATTTTCAAGAATCAAAAATAATGCTTAAAAATGACAGTAAAAGAAGAAATGATTTAAGGGAATGAATAAGATAAATGATCCTGAGAAGCTAAGGAGAGTGACATCAACAATGCCAAGGGCACTGGAAAAAGTCATAGTCTAAAGCAACTATTGGGTTGAATACAGGGAGCCTTTGGTGACATAGGCAAGAGCAGTGAGTGGAGAAGTGGCTGAAGAATTACAGGTGGGTAAGGAAGTAAGAGGGGCAGAGGCAATTCCTTTAGTAAGACAGATTCAAACTGGAAACTCAGACACAGGGCTGTGCTAGAGGGAGAGTGGAGCTGATCTCAGTTGCTGCAGCTCCAAAGTGATGACCAAGGTTATTCTGATGACCTTGAAGATTTTCCATGGGGAAATTTGCAAACACGGGACACATACTCAAATTCTTCATTTCTATGGATGCTATGTTTTGAACTCAAATAATATTCCATTTACAAAGGGGAAACTCCTGGTACTTCTTTCTTCTACTCTGGATAGAAAATTTTCTTTCCCTGAAGAGAAGTGATGCAGAAAAATTCCTGGGAGAGAGCCAAATACTCACATATTCATAGGGAAAGAAAATAGCACACAGTAAAGTCAATCATTTGGAAAATTTTCCACATAAATACTTTTAGCCATTTGAGGTAGCAGGTTTTCTTCAAATTAAACGCTTGCTATGAAAGTCAATGTCAGAGTGGCTAAACTCAGTAGTTTGAAAGTTGTGCCCTGAATTGCCAAACAGGAGCCATGGGCTCATTCCTCAGTCTCTGGTATACTCCCTGAATCTTCCCGGGTCCAAAGTGCTGCAAAAGAGTCGTTTCCAACTTCTCTTGGGGAGGAGAAACATATTGTTCAAAAGCAACAGCTGCCGCGGAATCAGGCGTGGCATTAGCAATAATCTGAATAGGATTTTATATAAACCTCCGGGCCTGAGTATAGTTGAAGGAGCAGCAAGCTTTCATATAGAAACAGATTTTATGTATTACTTAGGAGACGTTTTATGTGTATACTGCACTCTAAGAAAGTAGGACCCAGATACAAACGGTTTGGATACATCTTGAACTCTAATAACAGCTTCGGCTTTAATGAAACTTCAGTTAAGTACCGGGAATCCCCATATTATGAAAATCTTGACCTCTTGCCTAACTGGAGTCACAGGTGATTTTGGTCTAAAAAAGAAACTATCACTATACAAGGAAGAGAGAATGCAGAATGGCTGGTAGTGGCAATTTCTACAATTTAAAGGAAAAAAAAAACTAAAGCAGTAAACAAGAGATCAGAGACATATCTTAATCAGGGCACTCTAATCAGTATCAAACTTCCCTCTCCCCCCAAAAATGTTTCAGGGAAGCAGTTTGCCTTTCAGAATTAAAGGCATTTTACAAACTTGCTGCTTAGTGTTTAAGTCATGTGGCTTACTCAGTAGTGAACAAGCAATCATTAAACCGGTACCTGCTGGAGGTGCT